ATATGGTTCATGGGGTCACGAAGAGTCGGACACGACTTAACGACTGAACAACAACAACACAGAGGACATGGGAGAAAACACATTTATTACTGGTTAGGGAGGAAGTGGGCTCTTCACAGCACATACTCATTCGTTCTGCTTTTTTAAAAAAACAATTAAAACCATGTTAGAGGCCTCAGGCTGCCATTCCTGATGACAATAATCACCACCATTACCATTTCGTGGAACCCAAAGCTCTCTGGCCTGAGGAAGCAGATGTTAGTAGTCACAGCAGTGTATTCTTCATCTCATTTTTCTCTTAGTCTGAGGCAAATGGTATTACAGCATAAAAACACAAGCTGATGAGAAGGCTGTGAAAAATGTTATAGTTGGTGGGACAGGAATAAAACCACCACTCACGGTGGCTTGGGATTATTAGAACTAAACTGCTACATTTCTGCAGGGTGACAAACTGCGGAAGTGGGCTCTGATTATATCCCCTTCTCTCTCCCTGCTTCCAAAGAAAAACCCAATAGTGTACTAGTTAGGCATTTTTAAAATCTTTGCTTAGTTACCACCAAGGACCATTTACATTGCAAAGAAAGGCAATACTTATTCCAACAAATGATCTTTCTTATTTATCTGAGAAACCTAGTGATAATGTAAGAACACTTTTTAAGAAAAGTTCCCTTTTCATGAAAAGCAAGATAGAATTACCAGCTTTTAGAAGTTAAAAATGGGAAGATTACAAATCCAATTATTCATCATCTGCTTCACCACTCTTTTCTCACAAGAACTTCAATCCACCATTGACCATATATTCCTGCGCATTTTCCCAGCTTAATAGATGCTTGGCTCTGTAATTTTTTACTGACCCAATTATATATTGAAGGAGGAAAAAGGCCTCTAGTCACTTCTCCTTGAACAGCTGATTCAAATCTAACCTTATTGCCAATTATAAACATATACATGAATTAGACTTGGATGCAATATACAACTTGGGCAAAGGTTAAATCAGAAAGGTAACCTTTAAGTAAGAGGCTACCTGCTATATTCATGGACTGGTCCTGCTAGAACATAATGTGTAAACGCATGCGCTTTCTGAAAATGATGCATGCAACCCATCCAAAGTTTAGAAGACTTATGTTTGAATGGAGCTGGTATGGTATAATTATTAAAGCAGGAATAAGAAATCTAAAATCTTCCAGCTGTGATTAGAGTCTCCTTCTTGCTAGCAGCAGTCAAATGTTAGTCCAACAGCATCTGGACTGTCTGACGGCCCCCACCTCTCAGTCTCAAATTTAGTCCCAGGCATCATGAAGCAGGAAAACCTGAAGCATCTGAAAGCCTAAAGAGCTACTTTAGGAGTTCGCCTATGTTCTGTATGCCCATCCTCAAGAAAAGCTACATATTTGAACGGAAAAATGTTTCACACATGAACCATGTGCTTTCACAAAAGGAGTACGTAGCTCAATTTAAAAATGAGGGCAAAAAGGAGTGTTGAAATAGTATAAATTTTCCTAAACCAGCAAAACAATTTGGATGAAGGTTTAAAGAAGAGAATCTTTCTGGATCTTCTAAGACTGTGTTTTTCAACCTTGGGAACTTTAAGATGTGTGGACTTCAACTGGCTGGCTGGCAGCTGAAGTCCCCACATCTTAAAGTTCCCAAGGTTGAGAAACACTGTTCTAGGATTTATTGAAAGAAAATTATCAAAGCTCCAGCTGGAATAATTCCAGCATAGATAAGGTTGGCCTCCATGTAGAAATCTGGCTGTTGAGAGCTTCTTTTGGATGAATCCAAAAGCAAACATCGGAGAGAGAAAAGGAACAGGACCAGAAGAAGGAGCCCAATGTCATATCAATAATTATATAATGTAGCTTCAAAAAGTTGAAAGTGGCTGAATCAACACAAATCACATCTTTCTCTACCAATGCCACAAATAAAACTATGCACTTTGTATTTTAATAGTTGTGAGATTGATACATAAACACCAATGTTATTTGAAGTCCTTGTTTCTGGGTTTCATGCTGCTTTTTAAAAATTGTTTAACTCTATTACTGAAACGCACCTTGGAATTGTCACTTTTGATGGTGACAAATGACACAAAACTATTGTAAACAAGCATATAAGACAAATAAGTTATTCCAAATAGTGTTGTTTATTTAAAAAAAAGGGGGGGGGGAATGCACTTGAAATAGACTATGTTTTCTTTCAAAAGGTCACTGTAAACTAAAAGTATGTTGGAAGTCTGCACCAGGCTTGGAAACGAAATCCTGGGATTTTAACAGCCAAACTCAAAGTCAAGGCAGTCTCTAAAACAAGGATGCAGAACTTCTCATGCCAAAGACATGCTACATATGACCTTAAGTGCCATAGTGAGGGATTGCTTTCCATAGCACCTTTCTCAAACATGCCTTTTACAAGCCAAGGGTGGATGGTGGAGTGGGGATATTTATTTCCTGAGCCTCAAGTCTCAAGATTCTGGGCTTGAGAAACAACCTTTCTCACTTACCAGCTTCAACAAGAGAAACTGGTTATTTCCTGATCAATTGCGGGTTGGGAAGGGAAATTGGCAGGAGTAGCTAATCCACCTCATTTTGAATTCAGATCAAAAGAAGCTGAATTAGCTGTTTATACCTGCAATGTTTCAATGCTGCAGACTAGCAGCACCCTACTGAAAACTTCATCTCCAAAGCAAGACAGTTTCAGGGTCACCTTGTGAATCTTGCCTCCTGAAGATGGCTAGAGGTATGCAAAGGAAAAATTCAATTTCAATGTGTCTGACAAGTGTAATTTTTCCAGATGCAACAGTGTCAGACAACTGTGAGGTAATATCCCAGATATCCTCTCAATACTGGCCAATAATTTATGTCACAGCTTCTTACAAGTAGTCCTTGACTTACGACCATTTGTTCAGTGATTGTTTGAAGTAATGACGGTGCTGAACAAAGCGACTTGCTGCCCATCTCTGAAGTTCCGGCCACTGCAACATCCTGCAGTCACGTGATCACCATTTGTGACCTTCCCTGCCAGCTTCCCCCAAGCAAAGTCGCTGGGGTAAGTCTCTCCCCCCCCCCGGCCTTTCTTCACTTGTACCACGCTCTCCTTCCCCCCTTTGCCTGCACACA